AACAATATATGCTGTCTGGGTCATTAGAATTAGCTGAAAGTAACTGATAAGCTTTGAATAACAAATCTAGTGCTTCTTCTCTCGCTCTATGATGTAATTTGTTTTCTCTTAGAGAAAGAGGAAGTTTCAGAAGGGACCAAGTGCTGAACTTTTTTACAGCGCAACGTCTTATAAAAACCTGCTTGTACTGCTTGTAACAAATTGAGTCTCTGGATGCACTTTGCAAAGTGGCACCAGGGCTCCCAATAGTGCAATATTGAAATAAAGACCTTACTCAGGTGAGAACTCTCTCCTGTGGCTTCCTTGATAGTTAAATTTCCTCGACAAGGCCATAAACGATATTAATTTTGGAACATAAACATACGGTATATGGCTGGTCTCGGTACTTTAAAGAAAACATACACGAAACATGGTTTCATTATGACCAGTATCGGTCTTGAGATATTTTTAAATTGATTTACAGTATCTGAGAGGTATGTCTTGACACCGATACTACGTAAATACTGCTCACGTATATGTTTCTAGGTTTATATAATGCATTTCATACGGTCAAATTACTTTTGAGCAACTGATAAGAAGCGCGAAACGGTATGCCCAGGGCATTTTAGTTTCGTTTTGTGCGGGGACTCTGCTTTAACTATATCGCTGTGGATTGATTAGTGATATCAAGTACATACAAGTCATTTTTTAAATGTTGTAGTTCATCTTTTGTGTGCGGTTTTTGACTTTTTCTAAATTGCAACCCATAAATAAAGCTGATAAAGTTTAGACTAACTGTATTCTAAACTGTATTACAGCAGCACATTGGACAATGCAACGAGAATTGCAAAAATGCACTTGGAATCTGTCCAAGCCTTACTACAAAAATTATTTAAACTGCGACACTTATCATTCATCTTTAAATAAACTTTATTTTATATAGCGTTTTAAGCGAATAGGTAATTAGATTGTTTGTAAACCTAATCGCTTTTTCTACATAAACACAGCGTGATTGCTCTCTGAAAATGCTTTTCCTTTATATTTACAGTAGGCTCAGATTTCAACTATAGATCGTATTATTATAAACTTTCTTGGAAAAATGTATTTCATGTAAACCATGTTTGCTATTAATTCATTTAGGGCTTGAATATGTTCATTGTCTTCCAATCGAGTCGAGTTGACATTGGAAGCTTGCCATGCCCGGACTGTTACACCAACGCATTAGCATGTTAAAGCAATTTCATTGATTTATTTTAGTTAAAATTTTATATATCACCTTTAAAAGTGGAATCTCAAAGCAAAGTAAATACCCAACACTGATTGTACCCATCTGTCATGCTAATAAAACACCTTGAATTGAATTGAATTGAGGGAGAGAGGGGGCGAGGGCGAGCGAGATAACCAGGACGTAAGGCGAATAAGATACACTCCACAGACATTCACAACAGCGACATATGAAACGTTTGCACATATAGTTAAGTTATTACTTGGTTTTCAAAATGCAATGAAATACAATATTGTTGTTGTTACTGTTCTTGTTGTTTTTATCCTGTAAAGCATTTTGAGAAGCCACCTTTAAAGGCGATATATACTTTAAAAGCGCTGATTCTTATGGAATGTGTTCCGCCAGGGATTCAAATTTATTTTCAGTATCTAAGGAAATCTCAGTATAACTTTGTTCATGCACAAACAGTGTCATGTTACATTATTAATTTGGGTGTCTCCTCTTGCCAGAAAGCTCTAAATTGCATTTTGAGTGCGGTTTTTGACTTTTTCTAAATTGCAACCCATAAATAAACTGCGACACTTTAAACTGCGACACTTATCATTCAACCAGAGCTTGAAATATCACAAGGGCCCTCAAGAGCACAGCAAAGACTGTATTAAAAGACTGTATCACACGTAAAGAAGACTATTTTAAATTTCTTGGCGCAGTTCATTGTGCAATTAACACTAGTATGTGCTGTCCGCGCTCAAAATGCAGTTTAAAAAAAGTCAAAAACAGCGCTCAAAATGCAATTTAGAGCTCTTTGGCAAGATGAGACACCCAAATCAATAATGTAACATGCGACTGTTTGTGCATGAACAGGGTTATACTGCTATTCCCTTTGATACCCGATTAAAAAAAATAAAAAATGTTTTGAATCCCCGGCGGAACCGACATCCATTTGAATCAAGTAACAGGTTTATTCATGCTGAAAAAAAGAAGAAAGAAAACACATTCCATAAGAATTGACTGAGCTTCGCTCTGTAACATGCAATGATCCCCCCAGAGTCTCTGCCCTGGTTATTTGGGTTTTTAGACAGAAGGTAAAAAACTCTCTCTCTCTCTTGACCTCCCCCTCCCTGTGTATTGTCTGTTTTTTTGTTAACAAGGCTCGCCAGCTAATGTGAATCGAAACCTGTCTTTCCAACTTTAAAAGTCGTGCAATGTGTAAGCCACAATTCAAATAGAGAAAAAAGAGCTGACTGACAAGATTTAAGATGTGGCTGTCAATGTTGGATTAAAAAAAAAC